ATAATACAGGGTTTCAGAGTTTTAATGAAACGGGCCGACATAAATTTTTCCTTCTACCAGATTAGGATAAGTTAATCTGATTTTTATGTTTTTATTTGTTATTATAAAGTGTATGTGAATATATTCCAAAAAAAAAGAGAGGAACAGCCTAAGGGGTGGGATCCGAGGGCACTCCCTTCCAAAGAAAAGCTATCATAAAAGGGCTTTCCAGTTTCTAATAATCATGGAAAGGCGGTTATTACAAATGAAGTCTTTGTACTTTAATTAATGTTGCAATGTGTTTCTCTGATGCACTTTTTTATTCCGTTTCACTGTTCTCACACCTTTTTTCATATATATATATATATATATATATATAGTGTGTGTGTGTGTGTGTGTGTGTGTGTGTGTGTATGGAAGGGCTGGTCCTTCATTTCTATGTTTCTGCGTCATTTTTTCTTTCCCTGCAAATTCTTCTTTTGGCTATTTCTATTTTTTTTCTGTTTAATCATTTGTGTTTTTTTGTTCTCCAGATTGAGAAACCGTTGCAGAGGCATGGTGGCAGGCTAGAGCACAATGAAACATATTGTGGTTCATGTTTTGGAGCAGAAACGGTGCGTTTGGTCATCTGTTATCCCTTTGTTTACCTTTGTTTACCTTTGTTTACCTTTGTTTGGAGTTATTCTTTGCATAGTTTTTGTTATGATTCTGGAGCCGGAAGGAGGGCCTTTTTTTCATCATGATTATTCAAGATATCCTTTCTGGTTTACATAGCTTTGTTTTGCTTTATAGCACTTCATATTTGTATAAAGATATCTTATAATTTTGTCATTCCATTCGGTTTTTACAGCATTGTTATACTTTTTTTTCACATTTTATGTATTCTTTTACCTTCAGAAAGTACAATGTTTACAAGCAACTGGCATATTGCTGAAATAGAATTCATTTATGGTTTTTCTGCTTTTAATTTTTTGTCCCATTTAGATTGCACATATTTTTTTAAATGTAATATCAGAAATTTGAAAGGTTTTTCCCCCTTCTCTTGTTTGCAGTCTGATGATGACTGTTGTAATTCATGTGAAGAAGTTCGTGAAGCATACAGGAAGAAAGGTTGGGCTATTACAAATCAAGATTTGATAGACCAGGTATGTCAGATTGTAATAATCACCATTTATAGGATATTTTATGCTGCATGGGACTATAAGAGGCAACTAGATTGCTAGTCTCTTTAGTGTGCAGTCCCATCAAGAAGGGGAAAACAATGTCGTTAGAGGTCGGAATTATATACCTGGGACTTTTTTTTACATGTGTTGTTTCCAAACTACAAGTGAACGGTGTAATCGGTTTTTGTCGCCAACTAAGATCTATATGCCTTCAATTTTCAGTGCCAGCGAGAAGATTTTATACAGAAGGTAAAGGATGAAGAAGGTGAAGGGTGTAATATTGAAGGGTCTATTGAAGTTAATAAAGTAGCTGGAAGTTTCCACTTTGTCCCTGGAAAAAGCTTTCACCAGTCAAGCTTCAATTTTCTTGGTCTGCTTGCTTTGCAAACAAGTGATTACAATGTATGGTTCATACTTTCTTGTGTAAATCTGAAAAACGCCATACAAAAAGCATGCATAGGCATTGTTTATAATCAGTCTCTATTTTTCTGCTCTGATATATGTTTAGATGCTTCACATTCCATGTTTTATTCACATGATGCAGGTAAGTCACCGAATAAATAAATTAACTTTTGGTGACCACTATGATGGCTTGGTAAATCCTCTTGATGGGTAATTATTTTTTTCACCTCCTCTATAGATGTTTAGTCGTTGAAAATAATTATAGTTCTATTAATAATGTCAGTTGAAGCAGGACAGTATTCTATTATCTGATAAACATCAATTTTACTTGGCAAACTTACCCAGTCTAAGATGAACTTTCATTACTTGTTCAGGGTGCATTGGGAATATGACAAACAGAATGTCATGCACCAGTACTTTGTCAAGGTAAGAAGCATTAAAACAGGCTTTGGTTTCTCTGCTTCAGGGATTGACAAGCCTCGTTTCTCTTCAATTGAATATAAATTTTGTTTGGATACATAATATGTTTACTAATAATTCATGCTACCATCATCTACCTTTGGATCAAAATTTTGAATAAAGAAATGAACTGTAGGAATTAAGACTAAATGCAATGATTGACAGGTAAGAATCCACAATAAGTGAAGAGATCCCACTTTCCTTTTATAAAGTCATTTCCTGTTGTCATACAAACGAGAAGTCATGAACTCACTTCTCGCTGCTGTGGGATGGGGGGCATGGGGCATTTGGGGAAGTGCTTGTACAATTTAGAAGTTGTTTGGAAGAACTCTGAATGTATCTGTATTGCAGGTGGTACCAACTATATATACAAACATCAGAGGTCGTACTGTTCATTCAAATCAGGTATTGCTGAAAGTTCTTGTAAACTTGCGCATTTTATATTTTCGCTTGGATGGTGCCTTGAACATCTTACCAATTATTCGGTGCAGTACTCTGTAACGGAGCATTTTAAGAGTGTGGAGTTCGGAAGTTCTCAGTCTATTCCTGGAGTTTTCTTCTACTATGACATTTCTCCTGTTAAGGTTGGTAACATATCTACATCCAAAGTGTTTCTGAAAACAAAAATTATAATGTTCTACATTGTAATGTTGGAACTTAAGCTGTCATTGATGGGTGATGATAATCTGATACTTTTTTGACCAGTTCACCTTATTGATTGATTTTCGACAGTACGTGGGGAGTTTTAATATCCGAAAGACTCGAAAAGTATGAATGTTTGATGTCTTTTTCTATGCATTGTGCAGGTGACCTACACAGAGGAGCATGTTCCATTTTTACACTTCATGACTCACATTTGTGCCATAATTGGAGGTACCGTATGCTCTCCTTTCTCCACCTCTTCTTCCTCCCAACCTAAGAATAAATGCATGCATATTTATATGTCTTTTTGTGGATAACAAATAATTTCATTGATAGTATGAAATTACAAAGGGAAAGAACCCCGTGTGATGGATTGCGAAAGACCTCTCCAATTGGAGAGGAGGGAGGAACAGCTATAGTAGTGGAAAAGAGGGAGCATTTACACCATGAAACATCCACATTAACAATAGCTTCAAAAAATCTGTGATAGGGAAGTTCCTTATCTTGAAAAAGCCTCCAACTTCTCTCTTGCCAAATGGTTCAGCTGAACGCTCTAATAAAATTCTCCCAGCAGCCTTTTTCATTTCTTTGAAGGATGCCCCCCAAGTGTGAAGTGCTGAAACTGTTTTGGGCCCTTTGTATGACCATAAACCACCCAAACGGCTGTAGATTTGTGAAATCTCACATTGGTTGGGGAGGAGAACGAAACTCTCCGTGTGGAAACCTCTCCTTAGCCGACGCATTTTAAAAATTTTAAGGGGAAGCCCGAAAGGAAAAGCCCAAAGAGGACAATATCTGCTTATGGTGGGCTTGGGCTGTTACAAGATCGAAGCTCCAAAATTTCACAGCAAACTCACATTCAACCAAAAGATGACCTTGTGATTCATCATCTATTTTGCACTTCATTCACCATTGAGGAGAGAGAGACATGTAAGACAGCCTCCTTTGTAACTTGTCGTGGGTGTTGATGGCTTTGTGCTGGAGTTCCCAACGGAAGATTTTTTCTTTTTGGGATAGTGACCCTTCCATAGAGAATTCTAAATGAAAGCCTCTTCTACACAAGTCTCGAAAGGGTATTCTTCTTCAACCACACTTCTCACTCAAAGGCTCTGGGAACACAATCTCAGAAGACCACCGATTCACGCATTGGCTCTAAGATACAATCTCACAATATCCTTGCTTTCAGTTGAACGGATGACCATTGGCGAGTTAGTGAAGACATTGTATAGTCAATTGAAGGATTCACCATCGCTGTTGTTTAGTGAAAGTATTCATTCTTCTAAAGATATTCTTAATAGATCTAAGACTCTTAAGACTCTTCATTTGAAGCAACATAATTATGCCCTGTAATGCTCTTTTGACTAGTCTGACTAATTAACGGTCGTGGCTGATTGAGCAAGTTCGCGTAACTGCTAGACAATTAGGTTCGTCCATGACACTACAGGGCGGTACCCTAGATACCTACAAGCAGAAGATGATCAAATCCACTGCACCCACCCATAGTCCTGATACTGAATCGACTTTAGACTAGCTTTACATTACAAAATACCCTTTGAGGAGTTCGAGGGAAGAACCCAGAATCCGAAAGAATCTCTTTCTAGTTGCTCTAGAACTGGTGTTATTTCCCTTTATTTTTTTCTGTTGAGAAACCTAGGCAGATCTCTTAAATTCACCATCCCTCGACCGAACGCTAAAATCGGATCACTGTTTTGCAGGTATATTCAGTGTTGCGGGAATTGTAGATGCATTCATATACCACGGTCAAAGAAAAATGAAGAAGAAGGTTGAAATCGGAAAATTTGGTTAATGCCTCAGCTCTCTCTTTCACGCTAGACCAGTTTTGATCAAGCTGATGCAGATTCATTTGGGAATCAAAATACAATTCTGTCATCATTTAGGTGTTGCTTTTGAAACGCATTTATATTCTAGGGAATTAAGTTCATCTCCAAACAGGGTTAAGATCAAGTTCTCTTTCACACCAACCCCCACACAAGGGAGAAGAAAAAAGAAAAGAAAAGAAAAGGGGGGAAAGCAAGTTTAGTGTAAGATAGAAGAAATTCCTGTTGTACCCATTTCTTGTTCTGACAATTTGTAGAGTACTGTGTAACTTGGGTTTACATTTAAGATTGTGATCGAGAATTTGAGATTCATTATCATTTCAATCTAAGCATAGTTCAACTGGTTAGTGAAGAGATTAGAGGTTCAAATCCTCTTGCTTTCACTTGTTGTTTGAGATTATTTAATGTTTCAACTAATAGTGCAGATAGAGTTGGCTATCAATGTCTTAAAAGCGTTTTTATTAGCTAAACAATGCTTCATTTTTCTAGAAAATTTTTGAAGTGTTTTTTACTTAAAAGTTTTATATATTACAAAAATGCTCCAATTAGAGCATTATTTGATTATTCCAACAAAGTAGAAGCAAATGATTTTGGAAATTCAAGATGGGTTTTGAAGTCTTGGATTGAAAGTAGTTGCATCTTTCATCTCTCGTCCATTGCAATGCCTGAGCCAACAGTGGACATTGAATCATCTGTTAAGGATCGATCAAAGGAAGAGCTATATTCTTCTCCATTTTCTGTAAGTTTTATGCTTTCAATTTCTTTTACAACTTCAGTCATCTCTGGTCGTTTGTCAGGTGAAATATTAGAACAACGTATTGCAATCTGTAATAGATTCAGCATTCCTGGAATGGCAGACCTTTGTGATGCTATTTCTGAGTCAAATATTTCTGCTGTCCATTCTTCTCTAACTGCTCTATTCACCCAAGCACATAAATCAATGCCATGGGATTCTTCTGGTGATGAGTGAGATGAGATTTTTCCTGTCAAAAGTTCAATGAGAAGGCAGCCAAAGCTCCAAATATCTGATTTTCTTGACACTCTTTTCATTTGTTGATATTCAGGTGATCTGTATGAAGCCATGCGTTGAGCTGCAATGGGAAGGGCTACAAGTGAAGCAAAGCCATAATCTGAAACAAGAACCTCATCATTCTCACCAAGTAAGACATTTGAAGATTTTAAGTTTCCATGTGGGACAATGCTGCTATTTGGCTTGGTATTGAGATGGAGAAACTCCAAAGCTCTTGCCACTCCTTGAGCAATAATCAATCTTGAACTCCACCTGAATGGAACTCTGCTCACACCTCTGCCTCCTGTGTGGCACAGTAAGTATCAATATTACTTTAAGGTAAGAACAATCTAATCTACCTTAGTATGTATGTTTTTGTTGGAGTACTAATATAAAAAAGAATTGTTGTGAGATCCCACATCGATTCGGGAGGAGAACGAAGCATTCTTTATAAGAGTGTGGAAACTTCTCCTTAGAAAACGCGTTTTAAAACCCTTGAGGGGAAGCTCGAAAGGGAAAGCCTAAAGAGGACAATATCTGCTAGTAGTAGGTTTGGACCGTTACAAATGGTATCAGAGCCAGACACTGGACGATGTACCAACGAGGAGGTTGAGCCCCGGAGAGGAGTGAACACAAGGCAATGTGTCAGTAAGGTCGCTGGGCCCTAAAAGGAGGTGGATTGGGGGGTTCCACATCGATTGGAGAAGGGAACGAGTGCCAGCAAGGATACTCGGCCCCAAAGGAGGGTGGATTGTGAGATCCTACATTGGTTGGGGAGGAGAACAAATCATTCTTTCTAAGGTTGTGGAAACCTCTCCACAGCACACGCGTTTTAAAAACCTTGAGGGGAACCCCGAAAGGAAAAGTCCAAAGAGAAGAGTAATCTGCTAGTGGTGGGCTTGGACCGTTACAATTATATTACATGATATCAAAGCAAAAGATATTAGCTTAAGTTTTTAAGTTACTCATTAGCTTAAGATTTTGGGATGATTAGTGATTTAATAGCAAAAGCAAAAGATAGCTTACTCAAATCTTCAAGTTCATGTAAGTGAAGAAGAGGAGAACGAGAATCTATAGAGGTAGAGCATACCATGGATTCTATCAAACAAGTTCCCTTTTTCTGCATACTTATAGAGCAAAAGCTTCTCTTCTTTGGTGTAGAAATAGGCAACAAGTGGAAGCAAATTTGGATGCCTTTTCTTGGCAATAAGTTGTACTTGCTTCATGAATTCATCGACGCTCAAAGGTTTTAGATCTCGAAGCCGCTTCACAACGATTGGCGACCTGCCTTCAAGCATAGCCTTATAACTATTTCCAAATATCCCCTTACCAAGTCCCTCAGCTGAAGCTTTCAGAAGATCTCCAAGTTGGAAATTTTCTCCTTCCTCCATGAAGATGAGCTTCCCTCCTCCATCTGCTGCAGGCCCTTGGTTCTGGATTGAGATATCAGTCATGTTTTCGTTGTTCTTCTCCTTTGTTTCATTAGTTTCTAGCTTCTTTATGAGCTCCTTTATCTCCAGATGTTTCTTGAAGTAGAGAAGGAGCAGCAATAAATTAGCAACAAAAAAAAGTACAACAACAAGAACTAGCAACAAAGTGACACGAGGCTTGGAAGAAGAATTCTCTTCTGTGGCTTTGTTAGTATCAGGAGGTGCTGCTGTGTTATTTGACCCTTTTATGATTGAGTTGCAGACAGCATCAGAGGGCGGACCGCAGAGTCCGGGATTGCCACGGTAGGAGTCCGAGCCAAACGACTGAAGAGCCTTTGTTCTTGGAATTGAACCACTGAGATTGTTGTTTGAGACATTGAATACTGTTAAGGAAGACTGATTGAGTTCAGGTATGGAACCTGTAAGCCTGTTGTTTTGAAGCTGCAATGATTCCAATGAACTCAAACTCACAAGGGAAAGCGGAATTGGCCCATCAAACGCATTGGATGATAGATCTATAGCCTTCATCTTCTTGTTGGAAGAGAAATCGAATACATTTCCTGATAAGGAATTGTTCTTCAAGCTTAATGCAGACAATTCAGTGAACTTACTTAATGCATTGACATTCATATTCCCCACCAATCCTAAACTATCCAATGATAGCGCCGTGACTCGGCCATCGACGCATCGAAGGCCAAACCAAAGAGGAGGTTGATTATTGTGGCAGTGAGTTCCAGTCCAGTTTCTGTTAAGGAAAGAGTTATTGAAAGTTGCCTTCAATGCATAAAGGGCATCTCTCTCATCTCCATTAAAGCCAACAAGAGTATCAACTTGAGCTGCAACAGAGCCAAACAATAGTATTGGTGCAATGAACAACAAAGAAAACTCCATTCTCTGCAACTCTGAGCAAATGTCAGCAGCAGCAGATTTCTAAACGATGTCGATGAGATCAAACCCATCTTTGTTTTAAGTTCCTATTACAGCTAACCAATCTGAATTTTTTATGTTTATCTTAAAGATAAAAACAAGGGAATGATTCACCCTTTTTTTGTTGTTGAAAAGGGGATATTCCAGCTATGGTACAAGGTTGGTTGTTTGACATTGTTTCCAATCCAGCTTGAACAGAACAGGTACTAGACGTGTAAAATCATGTCGACTTGTAGTTGTACTTTTCTTTTAGCATAAAAAGTGGGTGAAGAACTCGAATCTCAAGTGAAGAAGTACACGTCAATTGTTGTTGAGCTCTCACTTTCACCTATTTGTAGCTTTGTAACTGTACTGCATGAGATTTGGAAGTTCAAGTCGTTTGATTTGAACAGAAACCGTACTAGACATGTAAAACCATGTTTTTTGACAATCGTGATTGTGAGGTCACTGGACGGTAGAAGGCGCTAGTCGGAGTAGGGCTAGACCCTCTCCATTGTAGACGTATTTCAAAATTGTGAGGCTGACGGCGATACGTAACGGGCCAAAGCGGACAATATTTGTTAACGGTAGATTTGGACTATTACAAATGGTATTAGTGCCAGACAGGGTGATGTGCCAACGAGGACGCTGGGTGTCACAATCGTCTTTGAAGCATTACCGTGACACTGGAAACCCAAGGAAGTGGATTATGAGATTCTACATCGGTTGAAGAGAGGAATGAAACATTCTTTATAAGGACGTAGAAACCTCTCCTTAGTAGACACATTCTAAAACCATGAAGTTGATAGCGATACGTAATAGACCAAAGGGGGCAATATCTACTAGCGGTGAACCTGTACTGTTGCAATGATATTCAAGTTAAGATCTATATACATTGAAAAAGTTCTTTAAGAAGCTTAAAATTATAAGAACTGATGTTTGAAAAAGTAGCCAGAAACAAGATAAACATTGACGTATTCTGCTCACAATATAGGGCATATGAGACAAGATTAGCATTGGAATTTGCTAAAAAAATTTACTGCTACTGAAGTGGTTTAACTATCACAATGCCAGAATTTATGGAGTATCCACATTCAGCTGCTTAAAAACAGAATTTGGAGACTGGGAGCTGAGTAGGGGAATGAAGTTCCTGAGTGATCTGAAATTACTACTTCAGTAGAATGTTTTGGCACCAGAGAAAACATCTTCAAAATACCAAATCCTACAACCGTTTGCAAACTATCTATCATGTAAAAGTGCCGAGATTATTCTCGCCCACAGCTTACATTTGAACAAGAAATCTACCATGATTTGACTGAAGCAAGAAAGTACCTACTTCAACATAATTCAGAATGATACAACGATTTGAAGGGAAAAAACGGAAAAACAGGAGGCAAAGGACCAGATAAACCTCAGTGCAAGAGAAGCAGAGTGATCTGGGGTAGCGAGTAAAGAAGAGAAGAAACAGAAGGCAAGCCTAAGTTCTATCTAAAGAAGAAAAATGGAGTCGCTCTTGGGTATCTAGATGATGGGGGCTTGGAAGAATGGGAAGAAAAAGGAGCCAAATAAATGGACAGGCCCAAGGTTCTATCTCTACGGTGGAAAACATAGTGGGTCCATAGTAGATTCTAGTTTGAGATGAGGAGAAGGTGGTTTAAGAGAGAGAAATAGGGAAGAACCGAGTGAAACGATGGAATGAAAATTTGACCTTTAGCAACAACCGAGTGAAAATTTGACCTTTAGCAGCGACAGAAATCTTTCTTAGTACAGTACCTGAAACTACCCTTAAATGGAGGGAGCTCTTTCTTCCTTAGACTGATTTAGCCACTTCCAAAGAAAGAATAGCTATTTTTAGTGGTTTTGTTTCCATTCTCAAGGTATTGATATAAAAAAGAGGGCCTAATACACACGGAACTATGGTAACGAAACGGGTCTGTGGACCAGCAACCCGACCGAACTCAACCATTAGGAACATCCCAGAAAAGCAAGTCACCAGACAATAAAGATATCAGGAAAAACATAAGACCTACCCCCTCGACAACTCTACTACTTAGGATATCATTCCCCCTTATTAGCAAAGGGGACAGTGACACCTTAGAACATGAAGTTCAGAATACACCACCAAATCAAAGGATGTTATTTCAGAGATAAAGTAATCAGACGGGTCATAAGCATGTAAACAACGAATACCATCTATCATTACCAATAAAGGAGATAATTTGTTTAACATGTAATCTAAATTTCCAAACTAAAGTCAAGAAACGAAATTTAGCTCTAGCTGCCCAACTTAATGAACATTGGTATGGATTAAATAGATAAACACAAATGAATTGTCTATGGCATAAATCTGAACAATCAATATCGAAATGGAGCACGCGACAAACGTATAAAACTTGAGTTTTTTATAGCCTTGACGATACACACCAACTGTAACAAAAAAAAATCACCCTCCATGTATAAGCAAGCACGTGAAATTCTAACCAAAGAGGTCTACTCAGCCACAAAACACAAGTACTATAAAACCCTATAAAGTACAACTCAGCAGGCTTGTAATTTGGTGAGAGATTGAACCATCATATAAGAATACAGACATCCATACAGTATTAACCTAAACAAAGTAAAGTTCAACCGCTTCAGATTCACTATACAACATGTTACCTGCACACCAAATGACATTCAGATCTTTTACTTTGAGACTAATAGGATTTCTGGTTTCTTATCTTTGCTGGGTGTATTAGCATTAGAAGAAGAATTTGCTGATGCTGCAGCCTTTGCAGCCGCACGAGCTCTGTTGTCAAGTTGAATGAGACTGCGAGTTGCCAATATTACCTGCGGTACCAAATCATGAGATGCCCTCGCATATAAACACCTGACAGCAACGGAAGCTGCATCCTTAACATCTTGCGAATTCAAAGGAGCCAGTAAACAATGTCCTAAAATTCTAAGCACTGGCTGCAAAAGCTCCCACGGCAGCGGAATTCTGAACCTCTTAGGTTCTGAATCATCTGAATTGCTCCCATGTTTCTCAATTTGTAGTTTGCCCATTTCTTCCGAAACATCTTCTATTTCATCCTCAAACTCCAACGTCCTTTTCTCCGAAAACCCACTAATTTCCAAATCATCCTCTTTATCAAACTCTCTCTTGCAGCAACAATCTTGCCCAGCCCATGACGCCGCAGATCGGCAGAATTCAAGCTTCGACCAGCTCGGCATATGCGAGATCTGCTTGTAATAGCAATCAAGAGCAACGCCAACAATGCAAGCTCTTTTGGTCGACTTCACTGCGTTCTGTGGTTCAAGCGAAGGGGAAAGAACCCCAACAGACGGCCTGGATTGAGCTTGGGAACCAGAATCGGGCTTATTCCGAGGAGAATGGTAGAGAGAAGGCTGCGAAAGATCAGGAATCGATACCAAAACAGGCTTCCCAGCCCGAGACTTAACCTCAGAGGAATAAAGCGCGAGAAGTACAGCCTCAAAGCCAGCGAGGGAAGGGAGAGAAGAGGAATCGGAGGAAGTAGAATGGACTCGAGAAAGGTACAAGGAGGAAAGAAGAGGAAGGAAAGAAAGAACAACAAGGCGGAGATGGGGATCGGAAGAGAGAAAAGTGTCGTAAAGCCAGTGGCAAAGAGGGTCAGAACCAGATCCAGCGGCGGAGGAGGAGAGGGCAGAGGAGATAGCGAAGTAAGCATCATGAGATGATAGAAGAGAGAGGGCCGGGCGGTCGGAATCGGCGACGGAGGAGAGGAAAAAAGAGTCGGAATGAGGGGGAAGGATAGAGGAAAGGGCATGGATACGAGAGCGAGCTTTGGAAACGGACTCCCACCAGGAGTGCATAGGGTCGCTGTCAGCGGTGGCGGTAGCGGTGGTGGCAGAGACGGAAGCGGAGGGATTGTTAGCAGCGGTGGTGGAGGAGGAGGAGGAGGAGGGGGAGGAGGAATGGCGGTTGTTGAGGGAGGGATTCCGGTGGAAGTCCATTGGGTGTAAAGGCTCCTACTGCTTCTTCTTCAGTGGCGTTGATCTGAGCCCCCTGCCTCCAGGGGGACGACGAAGCCAATGGGTCAATCCTGGAGACAAATACACAAGTGATTCCTACTTTCGGATTACCACTTCTTGTTTTTTTCAAAATTGACCTTCTACTTTTCAAAAGTCCCAAATTTGCCCTCAAACCAAGTTTTTTTTTTTTTTTTTTTCCTTTTTATTTTTCTTTTTCTCAAATTTGACCTTCTATTTATTTCTTTTGATCCTTCAATTTTAATTTAATTAATTTTAGTTCACTCACTTTAATAAATATCATTTTAGCCCCGTATTAACTCAAATTTAATTGATGGTTGAACAGTAGAGACCACTTTGAGATATGTACGTACCAAACCATATTGTTGCATATTGAAATTCTTACTGTGTAAACCTTTGAGAGCGTCTCGGGTGATGATCCTCAATCCTCGTTGAGCATGTGTAAGGATAGTATTTTACCGCTAATAGATATTATCTGCTTTGGCACGCACGTATCACCACCTGCCTCACAGTTTTAAAATGTGTCTACTAAAGAGAGATTTTCACACGAGAATGTTTCGTTCCCCTCTCCAACCAATGAGGCAGATGTTACAAAATTTGTAGTTCTCACGGAAACAAATGTGACAAAAGAAATACCAATTACCAACTACAAAGATGCTAAAAGATGGTACATAGTTTTTTTAGTTCATAAAAAAATTTAACTTAGAAATAGAAACATGAGGCATATGAAGTAATAAGATTTCCTCCTATCCTACACTCCACTTTTAAACTCTTTTTGGCATGAATGGTGTATGCGAGGAAGTTCCACGAAGAAAAAAGGAAGCTTACCTCAGTCAAAAATTCTCTCACCTGTTGAAAACAGCAAAAATACAATAGAGCTAAGAACGCAGAGCAGCCCAGGTATGGAGAAAACTGCTCTCCAGCTTTCTGGACTTGAGAGATCTGAATTGGCAGCCTTCGCAGCTTCCAGTAGTTTGCCAGTTAAGTCAACCCCGACGATACCAGCTAGCGTACCAGCAGTGTTCGAGACTCCCATGACGATACCTGCATATCGAGGAGCGATATCCATATGATTCACAGCAAATCCTGCTCTCCCTAAAGCTAAGAAACCAAGAGCCACAGATGAGCAGAAGATAGCCCCACCAGAAGTTCTGAAGATGGGGATAGCCATCAGTGCCATTGATGCTACAGCAAAGCCTATGGTATTCAAGAATTTCCGGGTTCGAGTAACAGATAGAATTCTTTTAGTGACCAAGTAATCAGCAGCTATCCCACCGACATTCGAGAATAAGAACATGTTAAGATAAGGCAACATCTTAGAGGAACCCATCTCCTGGAGGCTAAGTTGAAGACCAAGCTCAAAGTAAGTAGGCAGCCAGTTCATCAACACATATAAAGCATAATGGAAGGTAAAATTGTTTACCACGATTGCCCAAACTGGCAAGCTCAACAAGATTTTCTTCCACGGGATGTTTGAGGTTCG